CCCCCCGGCAGCCCCGTCAGTACACCAGAGGTAAAGAAAAAGACGTTCAGGGAGACTCCTCTCTTCTCTGAGCGCACGATGATCTCTCTCAGGCCCGACCTTCGCAGGCCATGGCGCGGCTCACCCCGTCTTCCCCTCGTCGCCGCTGCCTTCTCCAAGCCCCCCCGAGAGTCCTACCGCAGGCGCTTTTCCTTCTCGCAAGTTACCCGCTCTGCGGCCCTTGAGCTACGGGCAGCTTTATAGAGTTTAAAAAAAAAAAAAGAGAGGCAGAGTCACGTAAGCCTGGCTCGGCCTTTCCCTAGCAGGGCGACCGGCTGCCCAGGGGGGCAGCGCCCTCCGGCCCCCTCGCGGGGCGCCGCGGGCAGAGGGCCGGGGAGAAGCCCTCCACCGCCCAAGAAGAAAAGCATTGTGGATATGAATAAAAGCAATTGTTATTTAAATCCTCCACTACAGCTTGAACAAGATGATCCAGCTTTTAATTGTGGAAAGTACAGAGGAGCTAGACAATCAGCTGATGCTAAAAGGTGTGGCAACCCTAGTGATTTCAGTGCTGCATCCAGTAAAATTGGCTGGGGATCTGGACCATATTTTACTTAACACAACATGATCTACAAAAGACATGGGCCATTTAGTTCTTACTTAAGCAAACTCCCACTTAAAGACCCACAGGATAGTTACAGCAATTTTAGCTACAAGACTGATGTTTGTGTCAACAAAAAGGCAGACAACTACAACAGTGTACAGATTAGCTGAGTTCTGGCATTCACATCTTAACAGTGGAGTCCCATTTTGCTGGACAGGCCTTTTGCTGCTCAAGCACAACAAACTTTTGGCAGCATTACTGAAGGACATCTTTTGTTCAGGTACACATGGCCAGAGACTGTTATTGCCCAAAGAACAGTTTTCAGTACCTGCTGGGATCTCAGGATGGCAGCATCAATCTCATCCACCTTCTGAGAGATCGTGTCGCTCACTAATCTGTAACGTTCATTGTCCTCCGTTATCATCCTGTCAAGCCCCTCTCTGGCCCTCCACGGCACCAGCTCCAGGAAGGCACTGACACTTTTAAATATATATATATTATTATTTTGAACATTTTAATACTCACTTTTGCACCATCATGTTTTGGAAATTGCAACTGCGCCGTCTTGAGGGGTTTCTATCTCTTTTACCGGTGGGCAATAGGTTCACATTTGACTGTTCACAGGGCATCTAAACTGAACTCTTCTCTTTTTGGCATCTATTGGGTTTTAAAACTTTAAGAGTTTTAATACTTTAAGAGTTATTTTTTTGCCCGCTATTTGTTTACATCTTTTGGAGGAGGGGAAACCGAGTCTAAAGAATGACATTTCCAGCTAAAAACATTACAAATAAATATACACATTCAAACCGTAATAAAGGGCAAGATAAAAAAGTCCAGGTGAACACTTTCACAAGTTTTAGAGGGAGGAACACGACTTAGTGGGACAGCTACCTTCAAATTTGGTCAGTTCACAGTATAAAAAGGCTCAATTATTTTTTTCCTGTATTAAACACAGGGTAATTTACCCTATAATCTGAATATAGCATATTTTAAAAATTGGGCTAAACTTACTCTTAAAAAAAAATGTCTGCTTGAGGCTGCTTTCTCCTCTGAGAACCCTGATCCTTTTTGCCATTACTTCTGGCTCTGTTGCTGTGCCCTTTTGGAGAGTCTCCACCTGTCCCTCTGTTTACAGGTAGGAATACCAACCCCATTTATATATCACTTTTCATCCATCCATTCCTACATGCCATATAAAACTATAGGTGCTGCTACCTAAATTAGCCTACAATTGCCTTTTTTCTTTTTGCAAAAATTACTATTAACAAAAAATGCAATTAATAAAATTTAGAATAACTTGAGTTTAAGCAGTGCACCAAAACTACATTCCTGAAAAAGGAATTATCAAGAAGTGAAAAAACCACTTTCCTTTTAAAGGCAAAGTAACTCTTGAGTTTCAACAAAAATATCACCCCTCAAACAACTCTTCAAACACAACATTGTGTCAATTTTTATTTACCTGAAAATCAATTTTGCTGACTCCCCCAATCTTTCGTCTACCTAGTTCCAGGCATAAATTCTGCTTTGAACTACTTCACACATGCTCTGCTCCAAGTTTTGGCATGATAAATCACTACTGTCCACAAGACACTGCAAAAGCAACTTCTTGTCTTTTAATTCTACATCAGTTCGAAAGGAGAAAAATGAAGTTATAACATCTGTTTTGAGATTCCCTGTCCTCTAAACAGGCAAAAATTGGAAGTTTAAAGCTCTCTCAGATAATTCTACCATCTCCTTATTGCAGATAAAAAGGGTTCTCATGTTTTAAAACACATACTTTAATTTTTATAGCACTCT